GGGGGGGGGGGGGGGGGGGGGGGGGGGGGGGGGGGAAGGCCAGCTGCCTGCGACACACAGGGTGGGCAGTGTTGTCACCCCAGACTGCATTTTTGGTGCAAGCCCCATTGTGCCAAGCCTAAGGGGTAAGTAATCTGTTTAGCTGTATGGCGGCCTGGCAAGATGTCTTGGTACAACTTTGTAAACGAAGAGTTGCTCTATGGGAAAGTTTTAACTTGCCAGCCATGTTAAAAAAAAAAAAAAAAAAGGGAAAAAGCAGATGGAGAGTGATAAGGCTACGATGCTCTCTTCTGAGGTCACTCATCTGGAGCAAAACCATTACGGCAATCTGTGGCTTTACAGTTGCACTTCCTGCAAATGCCCCTAAATTATTACCCCAAACTTCCTGGGGTTCAGGAAACAGTGGAGCAGCTCTGTGGCCCAGCAGTATGGGTGGACTGAACCAGTGTGTGCTCTGAGGGAAGGGCTGTGCCCAGAACTCTGCAGGGATGGAAATGTGACCCTTGGTTTATACCCACCTCAGTCTGTGTTTGAGTCCTGGGGGTGGGAAGTTTGAAACCAAACCCACTGGTTTTTCCTTTGCTCATTGCTTTAAATGATGACAAATAACATCCTGCTTTCCTCTATGCTCCAGGAATTCACAGAATCATCTGGGTTGGAAAAGAATCTCCTCCAGCCCAACCATGACCCTCCCCCTGACGGTTCCCAACTCCACCAGATCCCTCAGCACTGGGTCAGCCCGACTCTTCAACCCCTCCAGGGATGGGGACTCCCCCCCTGCCCTGGGCAGCCCATTCCAACGCCCAACAGCCCCTTCTGCAAAGAAATCCTTCCTCAGAGCCAGTCTCTCTCTGACCAGGCAGGGGCAGGCTGTTTTTTCTGGCTGGGCTGACAGAGCTGTGTGATGTTTGTGTACCCGGAGCTGGCAAACGTGTTTGGGTGAGAACCACTCACAGCCTCGGGCAGAGCCCAGGATGCTGGCAGGGGTGGACAGGGCTGGGAAAGCCCAATTCAGCCCTAGTCTGGGCTGATTCCAGGCTGATGGGGACTTGGGTCTTTAATCATCACTCCAGTGACTTGGGAGCAGCAGGGCTACAGGCACCTGAGTTCCCAGGCAGTGTATTTCCATTGTGCCATTTACGCTGCAGAGTCACAGCTTGCTTTTGGATGAAGATCTTGGTGCTGGATCCTTTCCCAGTTCAGCACCTGAGAGGCTGCTTCTGTGAGGGATGTGAATACCTTCAGCAGAAAGCGTGGGGATGTTGGTGGCCAACAATGGGGTCAGCATTAAAAGCTTCACTTAAAACATAGCCATGTGACTTCAAGTCCACTGGCGGCTAAAGCAGAGAACTGGGTGGGTCTTTTTCTTTTTTTTTTTCTTTCCTTCTTGCTTCCATCTGTCATCCTTAAAACTGATGTTGAAAGCAGCTTACAGCTTCATCAGCTTCTACCATGAGCTCCCGAATACCCCAAAGCTTAGCCTTCTCTTTCATATTACTTTACCTAAAAGGACACTTGTGCTGTCTTTTGATCTTGCAACCTTTGTGGCTACCAGGAAAGCTGAAAGGGCCAGCTGCCCTTGATGGGCCAGCAGGAGTAGGTGTTGGACACCCTTCCCACACTGCCTCACTGCGGCTTTTCAGGTGCTGCCTTATGAAGAGGGAAAAGGTGTTTTTAGCTACAACTGTGATATTGGGCCATTCTCCGGTTTGAAATCTTTTTACAACTTCTCAGACAAGCTTTCTGTCTTTGCCTTTCCTCTTCTGCTATTTTCTTTGCCCAGGAGGGCTGTGCAAGGGCTCTTCCCCGTTCCTGCATCTGCTCCTGTTTTCCTGGCTGCTGTGAAACCCAACCTTGCAATTTTCTGTAGTAGTTTGTCAGATGAAACTGCCCCCACCTGAGGCTCTGCCAGGCCGGGAGGAATTATCTCAGCTTGTGGCAGGAGTGCGGAGTGGTTGATAAGTCTGCCTGAGCGTGGCTGGCTTGGATCGAGGCAGAGGGGCTCAAATGATCAGCTAAAATGAATACACCAAGCCAGGTCCTGCTGGTTTGCACGTGGCAGAGCTGGATGTGTTTCAGGGCAGTGGTTGGGAGAGCGCTGTTGCTGCAGAGCCGAGGGGTTGGTGGGGAGAAGCAATAGGAGGAGAGGTCTCTGGTGAAAATCTTGGCTGTACTCCGATATGGCAATGCCTTCTGAGGGAGATTTGTGCAGCTTTGCTGGGCAGAAGCTGCTCTGTTAAGAAAACCATTGGCTTCTCCTCTTGGCAAGGGCTTGACTGAAGCCCCCTGGAGAGCTGATGGATGAGCAGTAGTGCCGCCTAATTCCCGGAAAGGTTGGTACCAGGATTTGGCTATGCTGCCCTGTGGGTTTTCTTTGAGCTGGAGCCGTTCCCAGGGCTGGGGCACAACCTCGTGACCCATCAGCCTTCTGCTGTGTCACATCCCTCCTGCCTTCCCTTCGGACCGTTGTGGCTCCATGGTGACATTTGGCCATTTCCTTTATCAAAAGCTCTGTGGTTTCTGCTCTGCTTTGGGCAGTTACACCCCATTGCCAGGGCAGGAGCCAGGGACAGTCGCAGCTCCCAGCTCTGCACAAATGCCTCCATTTCCCCAGTAATGGTGATAAACGGGATGGTTGTACCCCAGCAGTGGGACCCGTCCCCTTCCCTTTCCCAGGACCAAGGAGTGGAGGCTGCCAGCTAGGGCAGAGGGTGGAAGGTCCTTGTTAGAGGTCACTAAATCCAGGCAGAGCTGGAAACAAAGCTAATCTGCTGCTGAGCCAAGCTTTGGGCATGCTGGAGAAAACTCCCCCAGCGAGTGCCAGCCCTTGGCCTGGCAGCGGCTGCAGCCTGGCTCCATCTCCATGCTGAGGGGGAAGGCACATGGGAGGCCAGGCTGGCACAGCACCCGGGCACTGGCCACAGCCACCGTGATGCCTGCCGGGACTGGCCACATGCACAGCTCTGCCATTGGGGCTGGGAGCCACCGGGGCCCTCTGTGACCCATGTCGGAGCCTTTTAAGGCTGCTCTGGGCACTCTGCAGGCAGCGGCAAGCCAGGGGTCCCGGCTGGGTGGCACAGACTGTTACAGAGTGACAGGTTTTTCCTGGTGCTGCCCTGTTCTCTGTCCCCACCAGGGCTGCACTGGCCAAGCAGCTCCCGTCTCCACTCACTCAACGTGGGTCTCTGTCGGCAGCCCCAGCTCTGCTCTCTGTCTGAGGCACAGAGGTGATGCTGTGTTATCCTGCTGCTGCCAGCTCTTGGTCGATGCCACGCACGTCCTGCTGTGCCCGCAGGCTGCAGAACCCTGGGTTAGGGACCAGCTGAGTGCTGGGCTCGACCTTGTACTGCTCACCCTGTGCTGTGCTTTGTTCCCAGCAATTTGATCTCTTTTAGCATGTGGAGGTGAGACACTGGCAGTGTCACCCAGGCCCTGGGGACAGGGGGACACCCTCTGCTGTCACACATGCAGGTGCAGGAGGACCCAGCAGCTGGGTGGGTGCCATGTTCTGACTCTGGTTCCTGCCTGTGCTGGACCGCGGTGCCCCCGTCCTTCCTCCTGCCATGGGAACAGGCCCTGCAAATCATGCAGAAACAGATTAAACCGGCTAAAAATGGAGGCTGCGTGTCAGGGCTGGATGAGGAATGTGCATTTAGATTAAATCCGGTGCCTTCGTTTGCTGGGGAGCTCTACTGAGAGGGCAGGTTTAGGCACCGGCTGGGGCCATCTGGCTCAGCCCTGGGGGTGAG